GATGGAGTCTCCGATGATCACAGCGTCGCGTTCCGTCTCGCGGAGGGGAGCGAAGCGGTTCCGGGTGGAGATCTCGAAGACCGGAGGCGGCGGAGGGGGAGAGGTCGTCGCCCGGGGCCTGGCTCGCGTCTTCCGTGGGGGGTGCACCCAGGGTACGTGGTGTCCCGGCGCCGGAGTGAAGGACATCTGGGAAGATCGCATCCTGGGTGCACCGGGCCTGTGCAGAGAAACACACGGAGTAGAGGTGGTGGGAGAATTAGCAGCGCGCTGTATACTTACCTCGGATTTGTGAGCGTCAGCCTGGGATGTTTCCAGCGCGGCTCTCCGCTCTCTCAGCTGGGTCTCCCTCTCCACCAGGTCACGGATCTGCTTCTCCACGGCCTCCAGCTCGAGCTGCACCGAATGCAGCTCGAACGTGTCCTCACCTGCACTCAAAGGTAGACACACATCCGCCATTAAAGCAAGTAACAGTGAATAGTGTATTAGTAATGTAAGCGAGATTAGCGGCAACCACGCTGGCGATGCTAGCGGGCTATATGCTAATAGCGGACTCGGGAAGTCAAAAATAGAACTAGTGATAACGAGGCGCTCTGATTATTTTTGTTGTAGAATACGATAGGGGATATATTCACACGTTATAGAAACGAAAATGATGGTGTATAAAATTGATTTTAAGATAAAAAAATTAGACGACAAAGAATTAACTTGACGGAGCTCAAACTCAAAACACACGGCAGCAACAAACAGGAAGTGACGTCTCTCTACTGCATTAGCTTGTTTTGAATGCTTTAAACTTAGTTTCTATTGAACTGTCAACAACTGAATTGCAGTGGTCAAACTATTTAAAATATAGTTAATTAAGCTACAAACTCGATCATAATGCACATTGTTTCCATCTATCATGTATTCTGAGGTACAGCTCGTTATGGATTGTTTTCACTAGTTAGCAGTAAACTGGTTACCTCACCTGAATATGTTCATAGATTTGTGTTGGATGTTTCGACATGGAAAACAGTTATCTTCAGAATGGAAATATACTTTATTTGTAAACATGACTTTTTTCCGCTTATTTCAGTTAATGCCATAAAACTATTGAGCTAAGCCAGCAGTAGTACTGAATTTGTCGTATAAACATGGCTGAAGGCGCAAAAAGCGAAGGAACAGACAAACCGATTCAATTGAGTGAGTCTTTAAGCTGGAACCGCTCCGATTGATTTAAACTCAAATTAGTGACTTTGATTGTTCTTTTCAAGCTATCCACTAGCAAAAATCAGATCAAAAGAGCCATTCATCTTCGAATTTTGACAATGCTTGTAATGATTTTAAAAAGCACATAGTGATGGGTGAAATTGATTTTTTTTAAACTCAGAATCAGTAAAACCATTGTGTCGCAAAATGATTCACTGTTTCAAAGTGCTCGAATCGGATCCCATATCGCGAATCATTTGGTTAAGATCAGGACTTCAAAGCTTGTTTCATGAATCTTTTGATTTAGATCGGAACTTCGGAGCGGCCTCGCGAATCATTCAGATCGGAAGATTGGAGTGCGTATCATGAATCATCTGATTTAGATCAGAACTTCGGAGCGGGTTTTTGAATCATTATTTAGATCGGGGCTTCAGAGCGCGGATGGCAAATCATTTGATTTAGATCGTAACTTCAGAGCAGGATAGCGAATCAAGATCAGAACTTCGGAGTGGGTTCGTGAATCATTATTCAGATCGTGGCTTCGGAGCACGGATCGCGAATCATTTGATTTAGATTGCAACTTCGGAGCGTGGATCGCGAATCATTTGATTTAGATCGGATCGGAGCAGGTTCGTGAATCATTATTGAGATCGGAACTTTGGAGCACGTGTCACGAATCATTTGATTTAGATCGAGATTTGGAGTGCATGTCGTGAATCATTTGATTCAGATTAGAAGCGTATATCGTGAATCATTTAATTTAGATCGTAATTTTGGAGCAAGTTTGCAAATCTTTTGATTCAGATCGGAAGTGCAGAGTGCGGATCGCGAAATTAGATTTAGATCGGAACTTCGGAGCACGTATCACGAATCATTTGATTTAGGTAGTAACTTTGGAGCAGGTTCGTGAATCATTATTCAGATCGGAACTTCAGAGCACATGTTGCGAATCATTTGATTTAAATTGGGATTATCATTTGACTTCGGAGAGCATATCACAAATTATTTGATTCAGATTGGGTCTTCGGAGCATGGACTGCGAATCATTTGACTTAAGGCCGTTTCACACTGAGCGCGATGCGAAAATGCGATGCGAATCGACAACGAACGGTGCTTTCACACCGAGCGTGAACCGATTGATCGCCTTCTGCTAATTCACGCCTGCACGCTAGGTGGCAATATACAGCATTACATTAAGATAAATAAAGTTTGCACCAGAGAAACAAACTATCTATAATACTTACAAGAATACATCTTAAAATATAAATAGAGGTACAATTAGCATCAAGCTACATTTGAAAATGTATGCGATTATTTATGTTTTTGCTTAAAACCCACTTTAAACCATCATCGAGTGCTTGTAATAAATTCCGATTGAGATCTAAAGTTGATTTTTATTCTATAAGACAAGCACTCTTTGTATGTTTTATGGACTGAACACGATCTGCTTCATAAACATCCTTTATTATTGTTATAAAAATATAATGAGCTGCATAAAACACAAAGAAAATATATCGTCATATGTCTATTTGCTTTCATATTTCATGTATAGAAAAATGTTTCTCTCATTTTTTCATAGGTAATAGCAGGAGATATCCTATGATTGACAGATCTTGAGACAGAGCTTCCGGTCATCCCTGTTGCTTGTGCACCTTTTCCTACCCAATTTCTTCCTTCCAGTCAACTTTGCATTTAATATGCTTTGATACAGCACTCTGTGAACAGCCACCCCTTTCAGTAATGACCTTCTGTGACTTACCCTCTTTGTGGAGGGTGTCAATGATTGTCTTCTGGACCATTGCCAAGTCAGCAGTCTTCCCCATTATTGTGGTTACAAAGAAAAAGAGATACCCGGAATTTATACTGTAGGGATGGTCATTTAATGAAACTCAAATGTAAATATTCTAATATTTTGAGATACTGGATTTCTGACTTTCATGAGCTGTAAGCTCTAATCATCAAAATTCAAACAAAAAACTTTTGAAATGTTTTACTTTACATATAATGAATATAGAATATATGAAAGCTTCACTTTTTGAAATGTTACAAAAAAAAATGAACTTTTTCATGATATTTTAATATTTTGAGATGCACCTGCACATATAATACATATAGTATATAATATGAGAATGTGCAATGCTAGAGACTTAAACAGGTTGCGTGCTGCATTCATCCAGTCAGTGACAGTGACACCGCAAATATGCAAATAAGAACATACTGTATGGTTCATGGTTGTGCATGATGATACTGTGAGTTTGGGGGGTTTCTAAAACCCAGCCTGGCTGACGGGGTTAGTGGTCAGGGTTAGAAAGAGAGAGCGAGAAAAAGCATGTAACTCTCTCACTGGTACAGCTGGGGTGGTGGATTGGCTAAAACCTCATCTGATCTCATTGCAGCAGTCAAACATAAGTCTCTGTTTTACCTCTTACCTGAATAGAAAGAGTTCGAGAGACAGACACTTTAATGTAGTTGGCTCTCACATTTCTATTTTCGTAACATATATTTTAGTGTGAGCTAAAGAGAAAGCATATAGGCAATTAAAAGAAAAACAGTGTGATAAATTTTATGACTGGGTGAGTGTGTGGAGAGAGAGAGACAGGAAACTCCTGACCGCTTCAGCTGACCCTGAGGAATGTAAGATTCGTACAGACCCATTCAGCAACATCACATGCCAACAGCTAATGGGCCAGGTCACGGTTCACCCGAAAATTAAAAGAAAAAAAAAGAAAAGAGTTTGCCTAAAGAAAACAAAGCATATTTAAGGACTATTAAGTCGTTTTGCATTGCATTTCATGACAATAAAGCTTTTTAATATTATTTATATCATTCTTTATAAATGCTTTATCTAAAAAGTAAATCATTTAATTAATAATGTCATAATAAAAAAAAAAACAGTCTTTATTTTCTTATAAGCAAAATATCTTTTTGTTTTATTATGAGATGAAATGTCCAGGAAGTGTTCTTGACATGTTTTTTTTCAACCTTGCCATGCATTGTGTAGTTCCAGTAAATTAATTCTGTCCATATTCTCACTAAACACACATTTTGTCTCCTTTTCCTCTCAAACACACACACTTAAACATTCAGAAGTGCGTCCAAGAGTCATGGTGTAGGGGGTAATCTAGAATAATCCTACTTTATTGGCTGTTACCGCTGTGACGCAGGTCCGGTCTCCCTGATAGATTCTGGGTGACATCTAGCATGACCTGACATTACGGTCAGTCATTTATATACACACAGTTACCAACTAGTCTTACACAGACACACACATAATTTCACACACGTCTGCCTCACTCCCTCACAAACACAGGTTTGCGTAGCCATCCAAACAGGGACTTAATTTACCCTTAAATTAAGCTAATTACAATTACTACAGACTAATCCAAACCCTAAAATAGAACAGTCTTTATGAAGCATTTTCTTTTTGAGAATGTCCACTTAGGATGTCAGATATATAGTAGCTAACCTAGGGACATTTTTCTGTACATTTTTCCCTGAAATATAGCATGGTTTTATTTTTCTTTCTTGTTTAATGTGCTTCAGAGACTGAAACCTCATTACTCACCTGCATAAAGGTAAAATTCGACTTCCAAACATGATGTCTTTCTCTAGAGGGCAGCATTGACATTCAGTGTTGTCAATAAAGGCAGAAATGATGTTTTGCTAGTCAGTTTTAATTGATTCATTTATTATGTATGTCATGTATACCTTCACACTAATTACCTTTAGAAACTTTACCATTTTTGACTCATATACCAAGTTGATTTTTGTAGTCATATACTGTATCAGTACAGTTGTTTGTTTGCGCCATAGAAACTAAATAAATACTCAACAAGTACAAAATAAATTACCAAGCTATACTTTTGCTTATTATAAATGTTCCTGTACTGTTTTAACAGGTCGTACGCGGGTATAACTGTGTATAATATTACCGTAGGTGAGGAGCGCGTGTCTGGATTGGTGCGCGCAGCTGCCACTTAAATTCTCCGTCACTCCTGCTATAGTTTACGGGTTAATCTCTGTGCATCCTCTCTGTGTGCAACCGAGATGACATGAGCAACCAGCACTTTACACAGTCTAACAGCTGACAATGTGATCATACAGGTAGGTCTTCAATTGACATATTATTGATTATGCGCATCTATATTCTTTCAGTGCTTAATTGAACAGGGTTTGCACATTATTGGTTGACTATTTATATATTTATTTTTACAGAATAAAACAACATGTAAAGACTCAAAGCTTCCAGCTGTCGCTTTAGTTGAGGAGAGGGACGGGGTCTTATGCTATTTGACATTCGTGTTCCTGGAAAGGCGTGCACTTTATTGTCGGAAGCGAAAACTCATCGCAATCATGCAGCAATCATTTTGACCTTCCGAGAGCCGTGAGATCCCACGTTCACCGCCCTCACCACGAATTTCAGCGCTGTGCGCAAAAGGGACATCTGGAGAGCTTTTACGCACAGAGGTGAGGCGCAACGGCGGCGCGCTGCATGCAACACGAATGCTAGACGTGCATATAAACTCTCGCCCGACTGAAAAATACTTTTTCTTGAATTATTGTAACATTTACTTCTTGCATCCATTCATGTGACACGGCCAACGCGACCTGACTGTAGGACTATATAACAAACAGATCTGTAATCACTCGCCATGGAAGAGAATCTAAGTAATTTGAGCGTGCTGAACTGGGAGCAGGTAAAGCGTCTGGATGTCATCCTCACCGAATCCATCCCCATTCACGGCAAATGGAACTTCCCCACTTTGGAGATGAAACCTCGTGATATCGTCAAAGTCGTGCGGTGTCGCATGGAAGAGCGCAAGATTCACGTCCGGGAGGTCCGGCTGAACGGTTCCGCGGCCAGTCACGTTCTCCACGAGGACAGCGGTTTGGGCTACAAGGACTTGGACCTCATATTTTGCGCGGATCTGAAAGGAGAAGTGGAGTTTCAGACCGTGAAGGATATCGTTCTCGACTCCCTCCTAGATTTCCTGCCTGAAGCTGTGAATAAAGAGAAAATCACACCAGTTACATTAAAGGTAAGCATTTAGTGACTTTTATTTGTTTTAATTGTGTTGTAACCCGGTGTTCTGCTTAGTTTAAACTAGTAAAAACGGGTCTTTTGCTGTTTTTTTTATATGGGGTTTTGGGCACTTTACAGCTGGGAGACCAGCTAAAAAGTTCAGCAAACCTGCGTAGTCTGGTTTAGATGTTTTTAAGCAAGGTAGCTAAAAGTCCTGGCTAGTAATTGAAAAAGTTGTGGATTCAAACCTTGCAGGAGTTGATTCATCACCCTCCAGCACAGCACTTAACCTCAGGTTACTCCATCAGGACTGTTCTTAATTTAACTGTACTGTCACTTTGGATAAGAGAGATTCAGCTAAATGACTACTTAGTAACTGATATAATTCCATATGTTTAGCGTGTTAAATAAAGGGGAAGTGCACGACATGCTATAATTTGACACTGACTGGACCTAGACATGTCCTAGAGAGCTTAAGCTGCAATGAGATAAGGACACTGGTAGTAAAAACGCTGGTTTCAACTACAAAAAGGATTTCTCTAAACCATTTTACGATGGATCCGTTTTCTCCTATCTCTACCCAGTGTATGCGAAGGCAGACAGCCTTTTCATGTATGCAAATTATGCTGATATAATTTAAAGCAATAGCGATGCAATGGAATGTCTTTACTGGATATGCAAAGTGACTTTACAATGAAAAGTATAGCAGCTGTAGTCCTCTGCTATTGACAGTATGCTGTTTTCAGAGTGCAAATGCAGAGGGGGATGATTTTTAATAATTATTTATTTGTCTGCTTAAACATTTCACATTGCACCCACGTACCCTTTTGTGCATCTCCATCTTTTAATGTATTTTAACAATTTTCATTGAACAAATCTTCACGCTCACATTGTCCTCCTCCAAACCTTTTTTTCTCTTTCCTTAGGAGGCTTACGTGCAGAAGATGGTGAAAGTTTGTAATGATTCAGACCGCTGGAGTCTAATCTCCCTCTCCAACAACAGCGGGAAGAACGTCGAACTGAAGTTTGTGGATTCCCTGCGACGTCAGTTTGAGTTCAGCGTTGACTCTTTTCAGATCCGTCTGGACTCCCTCCTCCTCTTCTACGAGTGCTCTGAAAACCCCATGGCTGAGACATTCCACCCCTCCATCGTGGGAGAGAGCGTTTACGGAGACTTCAACGTAGCCTTGGACCACCTGCAACGGAAACTGATCTGCACACGAAATCCAGAAGAGATTCGGGGTGGCGGCTTGCTGAAGTACTGCCACCTGTTGGTGCGAGGTTTCCGCGCGGCTTCGGAAGCCGAGATGAAGCTTCTCGAACGCTACATGTGTTCCCGGTTCTTCATCGACTTCTCAGATGTGGTGGAACAAAGGCGCAAGCTAGAGTCATATCTGCAGAATCACTTTGTGGGATTAGAGGACCGGAAATACGAGTACCTGACCACGCTGTACAGTGTCGTCGATGAAAGTACAGTATGCTTGATGGGACACGAACGGCGACAGACTCTGAGCCTCATCACCATGTTGGCGATACGTGTTCTGGCAGAGCAGAATGTAATTCCCAATGTGGCTAACGTCACTTGCTATTACCAACCTGCACCGTACATTGCAGATGGCAACTTTAGCAATTACTACATTGCTCAGGTGCAACCAGTCTATGCCTGCCAGCCCGTCCACACATTCTCACCATGGTTACCCTGCAACTGACCAACTGTTGACTCACATTTTGTCCAACATGTCTAATTAGAGCACTCGCCCAATGAGACCAGTTGGCAAGTCTGTATTTGTGTGCTCTACAATGTGAGGAAAACCCAAGACTTTCCCAACTGGCTGCTGCCAGCTCACTGCAAGGAGAAGCTACAAGCGCGCCAGATGAAAGAAAGTGAGGGAGAGTGAGGTAACTTGGATTCATTACCATCGGGCAGCACGTTCTACCTAGGCTTTCCATGGCTATGTGCCAGGCCTACAGTAGGAGGAAACACCATGGAAACTCTATGAGAGTAATACGGACACAAAAGGGACTATCTTTCTGTTTGTGTACATATGTGTGTGATAGACATACATGAAGAATCAAAGATGTCCTGCATATTGTATTGAAAGGGCAGATAGATTAGCAAGAGAACTTTTTTGATGCTCATTACTCATGCTATCAGACTGCAATCAATGGACACTTTTCTCAAGCCAAGGATATTTTCATAGATACCAGATACCCAAAACAGATTATCAGTTAAGTGCCTTAAACTGGAATTTTTTTTTAAGTCACTCTGCAAATGACCCCAAAGTATGTTAGTCAAGACATCTTTTTGGAGTCACATATGAATGAAGGTAGTGTACAATAGCAAATGGATGACGAGTTTTAAAGGCCACTTGATCATGAACTTCCAACTGATGTAGTTGCAAGACCTATTTCTTATAATGTATTCATTTAGGGGCCTATATGAAAGTGTTGCATAAGAAGCTTTTTCCAACCGAGGCACTGGCAAGATTCGTATACCTGTGTGTAAGACTGTACATATGAGTTTTTCACAGCTTCTTGTCTCATCTAAACTGACCTCAATTTACTGTTGGCTCAGTGCTGGCTTAGCTCAGATTAAAATGTCCAGGGCAATGCCATTACATCTAAGGCAAAGAAGTAAAACAGGTCGAGGCCGAACAGGAAGAGAATTAATGAAAGTTGTTTAAGTCCAAATTGTTGCTGTTATATCCAGGTTACCTGGCGTCTTTCTGAAGGCCTAATTATTACACAGCTACCAAATCCAGAGATTATACCTTTGACACATCTGACCTGCATAGCCTGGCGGATTAAGACCAGCAGAGACATAGCAGAAGCTCATTTAAGGGAAGCAGAACATATACCAAAGATATTCATGATATTCCTCAAGATTGTGAAGCAACAATACTTGACGTAAAAGCATCCACATGCTGTTGGAACTTAATGCAACACAATTCCCCTAGTTCAATTATTCCACTGAGTCTGAATCTGAGTGCTTTGACATATGTAAAGGCCCTGTCCCCAATGCTACCAATTCCACACTTTGGTGATGCAATAGGGGCACTCGAGAGCACCTTTCAGAATCAAAAATGGGACACCTTATGGTCACATGCCTGAAATGGGTGTATGTTAAGGCCCTGTCCCGAATGATACCCTAAGCCCTTGCGGTCCTCAGCCGATTCTACACTCTGGTGATGCAATGCTGCATAGACTGTCCGGTAGTAGTCCAAAGGTGCATACTGAGCAAAAGGGGGGGCATTAAGGGCACTCAGGAGCACCCTTCAGAAATAAAAAAATGGACACTCTATATGGTCACATGCATGCGATGGTTGCCACAAATCTACAGGACAGAAAGTTGGGACAGGGCTTGAGAATGTCACATGTACTTATGGATAAATTCACCCTAACTGATCATACAAAGATGGGCACATTCCTCCCATACACTCACTCACATATAATCATATCTCTTATTTTTCTACTTATTCTGCTATTTTTGTACATTGTGATGCTTGTGCTGTCTCGGTTAGGACCTTACTCTAATGCTGTGAAAAGTACTGTTGTGTTTTTTGAGTCGAAAGACCCGACCAAGCATTAGTTCAGCAAATTCTTAACAAACGTTGGTGTAAACTTTCATTTAGAGTCATTGCATTTGGGTGCCCACACAAGTGTGAATGTCTCAGTCTATGTGTGTTTTATCTTCTAAATTAAACTTGTATGTGAATTCAGATGTGATATTCTGAGCTCATTACTGTCAATATTGCAATGTGTCATGTATTTGCAAACATGAATGACTCATTAAATGGTGATTTTAAAAGTTACATTGGCTCGGTGATGTTTGTTATCAACAAAAC